TTCCTTCCTTCCTTCCTTCCTTCCTTCCTTCCTTCCTTCCTTCCTTCCTTCCCTTTCCTTCCTTCCCTTCCTTCCTTCCTTCCTTCCTTCCCTACCTTTTCTGGTACAGGCCTAAGCCGTGGGTTGTAGAAGTGGGGAGATGAGTCTTATCTGAAGCCCCAGACTGGTCTCCAGTGAGCTTTCGAAATGAAGATCTGAGGCATCTTCAGCTATTTGTGCTCCTTAATGAAGCAGAGATTTCCAGAGGTCAACTTTCCTAAAAACCGGTTACCCTTCAGGAAGGGACTCAGCCAGCAATAAGAGCCACTGAAAGACGAAGGACCTGCTGGCTCGGCCTGTAGGAAGCCACCACCAACTCCTAGCCTTGATCCAACAGCCAGCCTTCATAACTCCCACGTTGCTCCAGCCTGACAGTTTTCATTTTGGTTGTTCCAGAAAAATCTCCAAGGTCTCACCAGGTCACGGCTAAGCGATGCGGCGTCCTCCCAGGAGGTCCAAGAGGAGGCCAAGAGAGTGGAAGTGTAAGAATCTGGACCCCGATCTCAGCAACCTCTGTCTGGTTTTTCATCGTAAGCAGGAAGTTCTCTCAATTTGGAACAGATGTTGGCAAAGTCACAGGAGGCTGAGAAAACAACAGGGCTCCCTTGGAGAAAGATTCTCTTTGGAAAAAGAGAAAGAGGGAGGGAGAGAGACAGAGAGAGAGAGAGAGAGAGAGGAGGAAAGAGTATGGGAGAGAGAGTGTGTAATAGAGCAAGAATATAGAGAGAGTGTATGAGAGAGAGTATGACAGAGCAAGAGAGAGAATAGAGAGAGGAGAAAGTATGGGAGAAAGAGAGGAGAGAGAGAGCAAGAGAGAGAGGGGGGAGACAGGAGACAGAGAGGAGACAGAAGAGAGAGTATGGGAATGAGAGAGAGAGAAGAGGGAGAGAGAGGAGAAAATAGAAGATTATGAGGCTGGAAGCTAAACTGTAGGATGAATGGTTGATGATGGAAACTAATCAAGGAGAGGACCAACCTGGAACTAAGGAGCAATTTTTTGAGAACAGTCAGCCACAGAATACCTGGCCTTCAGATGTTGTGGATGCTCCATCCCTGGAGGTTTTGGAGAAGAGCCTGGACAGCCAGTTGTCTGGAACGGTGTAAGATCTCCTGTTTGAGCAGGGGGTTAGACTAGAAGACCTCCAAGGTCCTTTCCAACTATTACTCAATCTTCTATGTTGAGAGAGAACCTCAATTGTCTCCTTTCTGAATCCCAAAACTCCTTGTTTCCGTTGGAACTTGGTATCCTCCTTTGAACATCTCATCATCTTTGGCCAATGGGATCCACCAAGGAGGTCTGGAATAATCCAGAGCTGCAGACCATGAAGTCCATTTTGGAGATTCAACCAAGAAGCCAATTTGGGTGCTACTTATTAGCTGGTTTTTTTCCGTTTTTCCCCCCCACTTCTTGGAGAAGATTTGACAATCAGAAGAAGAGGGGAAGAGGGAGTAGATCAATGAGATTTAGCAATAGCAGTTAGACTTATCTACCGCTTCATAGGGCTTTCAGCCCTCTCTAAGCGGTTTACAGAGTCAGCATATATTGCCCCCAACAACAATCTGGGTCCTCCCTGCCCTGGGAGTTTTGGAAAGCAGGAAAGATAGATACAGATTGACAGAGTTGGAGGGGGCCTTGTAGGTCATCTAGTCCAACTCCCTGCCCAAAGATCCAGAGGATTCTGCCAGCAAAGGAGCAGGCTGTACCTTATAAAAGTACTTTATAAAAAAAGGAATGGAAGGGTTAGCAGTAGAAAAAAGTGCTTCAACCATGTTTTTCCCCGTGCAAAACACGGCTTAAACAAGACACTGGAATTGAATTGAAAGGGGGCATTTTTAATCCCCGGTAGTTTTTGGCTTCCCCCGTTCACTTAGTGCCCATTCAAAATTACAACGGCACTGAAAAAAGTGACTTATGACCATTTTCCACATTTACGACCGTTGCAGCATCCCCATGATCAGGTGATTAAAATTCAGACCCTTGGCAACTGTCTCATATATATATGACGGCCCTGGGGTCACGTGATCCCCTTTTGCGACCTTCTGACAAGCAAAGTCAAAGGGGAAGCTGGATTCACTTAACAATTGTTACTAACTTTAAATCACTAATTTAAAAATTGCACTGACTCCCTTAAGAACTGTGGCAAGAAAGGTCGTTAAATGGGGCAAAATTCACTTAACACTTGCTTAGTAACATGCAGTCTGAAATAAAGAATTGTTCCCATCAAAAAGAATAACGGTAGCTCAGGGCTGAACTGTGAATTCCTTGGTTCTTTCCTTGCAGACGTTTCATGACCTAACTAGGTAACGTCATCAGTGCTGGTGAATGTGGCTTGCTATTTACAACTCTGAGCGTGGTTGTTGGCTGGTAGACGTTTCCTTTCGTGACACAACTCGACAACATCATCAGTGCTCATCCCTTATTCATTACCATCCATTCATCTTTCAGACGGTGTTTTTTTACCCAGCTAGGAAGCATCATCAGTGTTCATCTGTTCAAATTATGCTGGCTGGGGAATTCTGGGACTTGAAGTTCATTCATCGTAAAGTTGCCAAGTTTGGCAAACATTGATCTAAGGAAGCCACAAAAGAGGAGGAACCTGGAAGCACCTTTTCAGGTGAGCCCATTTCATTAAAAAGCGACAGTTCCCTTCATCCCCTGCCAATCGGGAAAAAACCCAACGCTTTTCATGAAAGACGTTAATCTGAAACCTGCCATCTGCTTCCTTCAGATCTTTCTTACAAAGAAACTCCCAGAGCACAATGGACGAACACCTTGGCCACCGTGTGTCCTCGAGACGACAAGCTTCCCCTTCCCCGAACGCCCCACCTACTCACCCAAGTGCAGAGTAATGTTGACAGAGGTGGGGTGCTGAACCCCAAATGCCATGGACTGGCTTTGCCACCAAGTCGGCTCTTCCTGGCTGTGGAAGTCGGTCAGGTAAGAGGCGTTGTGGTGCGCCAGGGGGTCATCCGAATCGCAACGGTGGCACAGGGTGCTGGATTCCCGCGTGCCCATCTGCAAGCAGTAGGTTTCGGGGGGGCAACCACACGTGTTGGAGGCCTGCGCCTGCCGGCTGAAGGCTGCGTTCTCGAAGATGGGCATGCAACGCTGGGCATGGCCCTGGGAGTTGTAGCAGACGTCCATGGCTCCTGTGGCCGGGTGAAAGAAGGCGAGAAAAGCCAGGGAAGGAAGCAGCAGCAGCAGCCGCTGTGCCATGACGGGTCTGTGGAGGATCTCTGTGATGTTCTTGTTTGCACAGTCCCAGCCTCTTTAGCTCTCTCTTCTCTCCTCCACTTCCTCCTCCTCCTCCTCCTCCTCCTTCACGGAGGATGGGGAAAAACAAATTTCCAGCTGTGGGAATCTTTCTCTCTGTCTCTCCCACTCACTTCCATCTTGTGGACGGAATCAGGAATGGCCCCCCTCCGATCAAAGCCTCTCCTCCTTGGGAACCAATAAGCTCCTTCGGAAAGGATTTATTCTAGCTGGGTGGAAAAGTAGTGAGAAAACTTACTTTTTACTTCTTTGCACAGATCTGGGACGGACAGGGGGTGGACGGACGGACGCACGGGCAAGAGGGATGCACAAATTAAGCCCGCCAGAAGACTTGCGCCAGTTGGAGCCTGAGGGACATTTTTAAAGGCAACAACAGCGAGGGGAAAAGACCAAATCTGCATTTGTGGGATTGGGATGGCTGAGGACTGATGCTGGGTGCAGATACATCAAGGTTGGCGCTTCCTGGAATCATCGGACAGCTGCAAATTGTCAGGTTGAAGGGCTTCCTCTCCCAGCCTCAACTTTTTTCCAGGCTTCCTGTGAAGGGGAAGAAATGCTCCAGACATTTTTCCATGGTCTAACTTTGCATTTAACACATTCCCTTCTGTTCTGTTTTTAATTCATATTCTATTCCGTTCCATTCCTTTCCGTTTTGCCCCCTGCTTCAAAGATTTGGGATGAGTTGATCCGAAGGACTGAATATTACACATGAATCCCAATTTCTAGTGATACCTAGAAATTTTATTTTCTTCTGAACTTCAAAACCCATTTTATTCATCAGTTCTGTTTGAGCATCCAGCTTCATGTTTTTTTGTTAACATCTTCATCTTCTGTTAGTTTTAAAAATGGCTAACCCACCAAATTATTTGAGTTTCCCCATTGATGTTTCAATTCCCTTTAAAGCACCTTCCAGAATCAACAAGTCATTTGCAAAATCTATGGCTCTTTAAAAAATAAAAACTTTATTCCCACAATCTTCTTTTTCTTGTCTTATGTGTCTATTGAGTATTTCAAGAACAAAAATAAACAAGAAATGAGACAGTGTGAACATCCTTGTCTTGTTCCTTTCTGTATCTTACAAGGTTTGGTGGTTAAATCTCCATTAATGATGTGGGGGTTTCCTTTTGTGCTTTCTGTCAAGTCTAAATCGATCTTACCATTTTATACAGGCCTCTCCAAAATTGATATCTTCCAAAATTGCAGACGTGAAACCCCAATTCAAATTGTCAAAGGCCTTCTCCGTCTGTAAGAAAATCAATGTGGTTTGTTTTTCATGATGTCTCTCCAAATATTCTAGAATGTGTAACATATGTCTAACATTACCCTTTAACTACCTTTTAGGAAAATACTACATCCATCCTCAAGAACAAATTCCTGCAAAACCATTTTCAGTCTATCAGCTAGAATGGTTGTGAACAACCTGTAGCCCTTCGTTCAATAGAAATTGGCTATTGTGTCGTCTTAAAATAAAAACTAGTCCATCGTTAGCCTATTAATGCTATATTGGATTCTTTCTCACTCACGAAAGATTGCTATATTGGATTCTTTCTAATTGACCTTTCTGGTAAGTTAGATTTCACCGTACAGGTAACCCTGTACGACCACGATTGAGCAAAAAGTTTCTGTCACTAAATGAAACAGTTGTTAAGTGAGTTTTGCCCCATTTTCTGAACTTCCTTGCCACAGTTATTAAGTGAATCACTGCCGTTGTTAAGTGAGGAACACCATTTTCAGTGAATCTGGTTTCCCCACTGACTTTGCTTGTCAGAAGGTCACAGGTCACGTGACTCCGGGACACTGCAACTGTCATAAGTACATGCCAGTTGCCAAGCATCTGAATTCTGATCACATGACCATGGGGATGCGGCAAAGGCTGTAATGTGAAAACTGGTCCTGTCGCTTTTTTTTCAGTGCCCTTGTAACTTTGAATAGTCATTAAGTGAATGGTTGTAAGTTGAGAACAGCAAATTTTCTGACAGTGAGAACAATCAATCAACGGCATAGCTTGCCTTGTTGGTGCTCCATCTCTAGAGGTTCTAAAAAATAACCTGGACAACCATTTGATTGGGATGATGTGAGACTCTTGCCTTGAGCAGGGGGTTGGACTAGAAGACCTCCGAGGTCCCTTCCAGCCCTATGATTCTAAAGTTTTGCCAGAACAGGCGAGAGAGTGTTCAAATGTTTAGAAATCAAATGGCTTCATCCCCTTTTTTCCCCCAAGATCAATGCGCTTTTTAACATACCAACATTCCCTAGACTCAAGAGAACATAAACCGCGCTTTTAGAAAGATTTGAAAAGGTTTAAATGTTGAATCTTTGATGAGGTTTCATGTGATGCAAAAAGCTGTTGTTGCGTGGAACAATTGTGCTTTTGTTGCCTCTGAAAACAAAGCAGTCAGTTAGTTTTGCTGGTCGTCGCCTCAAGGCGTCTTCCAGCTGTTCCAGCAGCCAGAAGGAACCTCTGGATTGCGCATGGCTGATGGGCTGGAAGGACACCTCGAAGAGATGACATGAGTCACACCCAGAAGAAGCAAAGTGGCCTTATTCAACCTCGAAATCAAAAATTGATGCCAAAGTTTTCCTGCTTCCGTGTTTATTACCCCCCCTCCCTTCTCTTCCAAACGGTCTTTTGGTTTCTGACATATTTGCAGGGTACAATGTTTTTTTCTTCGTTGTCTTTTGATGTTGGAGACGGCGGTCAGCCTCCTTCCATGACTTTGGACCCACTGCTCATCCACCACCGGGAGGCAAATTATGATGGAGAAGGAACGGCTCCCTCTACAAGTTGTGGGCGCTCCATCACTGGAGGGTTTCAAGAAGAGGATGGAAAACCATTCGCCTGGATAGAGTCTCCTGCTTGAGCAGGGGTTGGACTAGAAGACCTCCAAGGTCCCTTCCAGCCTTAGGATTCCGTGTTCTAGATCAAAGCAGAAGTATTTGGAGAAACTCATAGAAGGCAGGGGGTTGGACAAGAAGACCCCCAAGGTACAATTCTAGCCCTATTATTCTATGTTCTATGTTGGCTCAGTCAACACTAATATATTTGCCAACGTCTCAGTTCCCCAAAGCCCTTTTCTTAGGAATGTCGAAAGTCAAGAAGCGATGGGTGGAAGCTTCAAGGAAAGGTAGATTCTACCTGGAACCTGGAATCCTTTGTTGTCCTTCTTGGCAACCTGAAGACAACTTGAAGAGCCTCAACAGGTGCCGGCTTCAGTGTCTCCTTTCTCATCCTTCTTGGAACTTACTCACAGGTAAGTTGAGTTCACTGCTCAGGAGAGGCTCTCCACAGAAGCAGGCCAGCTTCCCTCTTGCTGCCTCTCAAACTGATACAGTACATTTTCTACTGGCAAAACTTCTCTAATTTCATTAAAAAAAAAACCTTTAAGATCTAATACTGTAATTCAGAAAAATCTAGCATGAATTTGGGGGCGGAGGGAAAAGGAACATGACATGTACATCTTTGTTAATTATTCCTGTGCTCTGACTTCCTAGAGAAATGTTGTTCCGTGTATGTCGATGTGCTTTGATCATGTTCTGTTGCTATGGCTGGCGGCTGCGATGACTCTTTTGATGGAAACTGATTGCCTTCTGCACTCGGGCATTTATTACTGGATTAAGGAAAGATAACAGTGGATGCTGCAAAATGCTACAACTTGCTTCAACTAAGATGCAGGGTCTTTTTTTGCAAACCGGGGTGGGGGGAGGTAGATCTGCTGCTCCCTGGGCAGCCAGTTGGAGATGCCTGAAACAGTTTCCAACACCTCCAATATTTGGGGGGCTGTTACAGAAAAAGAGGGGTTCAACAGTCTGTAAAGCACCCGAGGGTAGGACAAGAAGCAACAGGTGGAAGCTGATCAAGGAGGGATCCAGACAAATGGTTATCCAACCTCCTCTTAAAAACTTCCAGTGTTGGAGAATTCACAACTTCTGGAGGCCAGCTGTTCCATTGTTTATATGTTCTGACTGTCAGGAAATTTCTCCTCAGTTCTAAGTTGCTTCTCTCCTTGA